AAAAAAGAACCTAGCGGATCCTTTGACGAAAGGTATTTCAAGAGACTTAGTCAAAGAAACATCTAGTGGAATGAGACTGAAACCTTTCTTTGAAAGAGTCACCAATGATGGTAACCCAACTATGTAATAGTTGTACCGCTATTCCATAGTTAAATGGGTAAGAACAAATTATTGTTATGTGACCGGGTTAGCACCGAACTTTAATTAGTCCCTTCCAGGATATCAGTGCAAAAATAGCTACGTGTGTGAGGTTGAGTTTATACTCTTAATGGAGTTCGATATAATTCGAACTTCACCTAAGTGAACATAAGGAATGGTGCCGTTCCTAACAAGACCTTGGTTTAGTCTTGTAAATGTTCATGAATCCAAGATAGAGCACAAGGCCGGAATAGTGCTAAACGATTGGAACAGTTTTGAAATCTGGGATAACACATATGTGATATATTTCTGGTATTTGCTTAAGAGACAAAGTTTAATGCAAAGCACACTATTGTCTTGTGAATACTTTGAAGTATAGTCATAAGTAAAGGTTAAAATTGAAAGATACCTTCATGTATGTATGTGTTTATCGTTGTTAATTCTGAAGAAATATTACAATCTAGTGGGGGATTGTTAGAGAGATTGTAATATATCTCTCAATCTTGATATCACAAAATTGGATTAAAACACATTCGGGAAGTGTGGGTTGAAGCAAGCACGCGCTGCAGCGCGCAGGTATGCGCGCTGCAGCGCACGGACGCGCTGCAGCGCGCTTGGGCGCTGCAGCCTGCGCAAAACAGACCTCTCGGGTCTGTTTTGCTAAGCCCGCGCGCTGCAGCGCGCTTGGGCGCTGCAGCCTGCGCAAAACAGACCTCTCGGGTCTGTTTTGCTAAGCCCGCGCGCTGCAGCGCGCTTGGGCGCTGCAGCCTGCGCAAAACAGACCTCTCGGGTCTGTTTTGCTAAGCCCGCGCGCTGCAGCGCGCCTCTTGGGCGCTGCAGCGCGCCTCTTGGGCGCTGCAGCGCAAATTGTCGACGAAAAATGTGTTCGTGTGTTTTAGTGATCTGAAAAGGTCTCGAACCATTGCATCTATTTGTGATATGTTTTCTCACATATCTGAACACTTATTAACAATATAAATAACTATTGATATAAGTGCATCAGCATATAAAAGATAACCATCAAATTGAAAAGGTATCTTTATGTGAAAGGTTGTAACACTTAAAGAGGATGGATGCATCCCTGTCTTTATATGATGGACTTTAGAAAATACAGATGAATATATTGTTCTGGAACTCAATATTTTTTGCTGGATATTGTGTTCAAGGGTTTGTTGTATCTTGGGGGTAATTTGCCATTTAAAACTCATTAGCAAACTTTGAGAAGTGAGGGTAAATAAAACCTTAAAGGAAAGTATTCCTATACACCTCAAACCCTCTTTCTGCTTTTTCTATTCTTTTCATCCTCCCAATTCTGAATTTTTTAACATATTATAGCCAGACTACGCACATTAGAATAAATGTAACAAATTATATCTTAGGTTTAAGAAACAAACATTTATTCTTGCTAAGTTATATTTTAGTACCCTCTCTCTGAATTCTCAAATTCTTGTATCCACGTTGATATTAGATTCTAAAATCAAAATGGTGCGGTTTGTCCTTTAAAGGGGCTGGTATTGATTGCTATACAATATAACAGCGCCTCTAAGCGAGCCAATACAGCCCATGTTTTACATTGGTTGCAGCACATGCATGACAACATGGGCTTTAAGTATATTACCCGTAATGGAAGTAAATCAATGTTCTAGCATCGACTTTTGCAATGATTAAGATCTCGTTCATTTTATCGTTATGAGTTTAGAATTTGAGTTTTGTTACAGTAAAAAGCTCTCAGAAACAGTCATATTTAACTTTTTTGTTACAGTAAAAAGCTCTCACATAACATTATATCTCAACTCGAATTAAAAACTCAAATCAACGAAATAAACGGGTCATAAGTCTGGCAAGCCTGATAGTCCATATAGTTATTCATATACCTGTAGATAAGATTCAACAGCTTGCTTGCCAGTCCATACAGTTGTTCATATACCTGTAGATAAGATTCAACAGCTTCTACAACCCATGCTTCTTCAGTTATATATAGTCGAAATTTTGAGTTTTTGTCAATCGTATAACATAAGCTTCTCCTACAATTGGGTCAATTCAAGACATTATGTCTTAATTGTATGAACATCAATACAATAATTGGTGTCATATTATAGAATGAAAAATACTTAGAGGTTAATAGAAGGTGCACTTTATCTATAGACTCCGTATTGTGGAATCTACTTTTTATCAGAGGATGGTGCTTTGTACTACTGATATTCTCATAGACAGAGGCAACTAATGGTCACCCACTAACGGCTCAAATTTTTTATTTTTAAAAATCTTATATATCGAAGTTGTGTATTGCATTATATCAATATAGACATTATGGTCCCACAAAAAATTTAAAATTTAATCTTATGCTCCCATTAAATTTATTATCGACATAAATTTCTAACGGATGTCTTATAATATTGTTCTTGTGGAATACACTATTTGTTTAGTATATCATTTAAGGAAGGCATGAGCATTTTATGGGACTCAAGTCAAGGGCAAACATACGCTCTTTAATTCTTTTAGCATGGTGTATTAGAACTATATAGTTTGAAAGCGAGATAAGATTTTTACATATGTGAAAAAGTTTTATAATATTTACCCTACATCTTATGAATAATGAAATAATTGCTTCAAAGGAACATTACTTTAGCCGACAAAAGTCACTCCTTTTCATAGTAACTTGTTTTGTAACGTGTTCCGTACACATTATTGTGTTAGATATACTTAAAGAATTTATTGTTTACTGAGTAATGAAAAATTCATTTATACAACTATTTAATAGAAAAAATTTAAGTAGAGACACATTTAAAAAAAATTATTTTTAACCAATTAAAAATAAAATAAGAACACATACAAAGACAATTACTTTCATAAGATTAAAGTGAAAAATAATATATTTTTAAAAATACATAAAAATTAAAATGTAAAAAAATTCAAAAAAAGAGTTTTGGCTCTTTTATATAATTATAGACTTGCCTTTATCTTGTTGATCGATTTGATAATAGCTCTCATGGAATCCTTTAACTCCAGCCTACTAACCTGTTATCTGTAGCCATTTTTTTTTAGTCGAATAATCCCAGGCTATATTTGGAATTTCACTTGACCAGAGCAAGTCGGCTTGACATGTGACAGGTCAAGGCCAAGTAACCAACACTCTTCATTGGTGCGAGTGCTATTAAAAGGAGCAAATAAACGTGGCTCATAACAATAGTCAGTTCTCTTATTCTAATTTTTAATTTCAATTTGTAATAAAAAAAAATTTATAAAAAAAAATCACATTTAATTTTTTTTATTACAATAAAATTTTTTTATAAAAAATCACATTTAAAATTGAATTAAAAATTTAAATTAAAAAACTGAACGAGAATGTAAGTAATTTGAAACAGAATAACTTAAGTGGTCAATTATCCAAGCAAGGGAAAGCATATGCTCAAGCAAAAATATCGAAGAAAAAACATCTTAGTTGCTTTCCGTAGATACATTTGCTTGTTTTTATTTTTTATTTTTTGCTTTGCTTAATAAAAACAAGAAATGAATGTCCACGTTTTTCCGTTTTTGAATTTGGATAAGATATCAAATGTGCACTTTATAATGAGATTAGATATGAAATTTACAGCTAGATTATGCCTGCAACCATAAAAGCATGTATGCATTGGACATAACATTCTGGTTTTTCAATGAATATAAATATTACCCCTTTGACCCCATTTATCTTTCTAACTAAGATTGAAATTAAGTTTAAATATTAGTAACTGATTACCATGACTAGTACTTCAGTTTCGCTTGAAACAAAAAAATAATAATAATAATAATAATAATAATAATAATAATAATAATAATAATAATAATAATAATAATAATAATAATATTTTAGTTTTTAAATGAAAACTAAACAAAGTATAATTTAGGGAATAATTCAAATAAGAATCATGAAAAATGAATGTAAAGAGTATTTTTTTTTTTTTTGAAAAAAAAAAAACCTTCCGAAGAAAGAGTTACTATACATAATTGTATGGCTCTTGTTGCATATCTTCATATTTAACTATACTGAAGTCGTTCACATGTTAATGAACGAGTTCAATAAAACAACTCAATTCTCGGAGCTAGAAAATTTTTTAGTGAGGACACTACAAAACCAAATATAGATTTCTATTAAAATAAGAACATAGTAATATATTTTAATTATTCAGTAGACAACGTTATAATTTTTTAATAAAATATGAGTACAATTAATATATTAGAAAAAAAAATGTAATGATAAAACATACATTTCTAAAAATTGAGTCAGAAAGTAGCTTTGTCACTGTCTCGAGTCTGATTCATTAGCCACAATTTTGTGTGAGAGAAGAAATTTTTGAATTCAATTTTTTTATAAAATAAAAAACATTATAACAAAATTAAAATTATGAATTCAAATATAAAAACTAGACATGACCGGGTTTGAAATAAAGGTGGCCCTACCTCTGTAACCCGAGTCTTCTAATGGGTTTGTTTAGTAATTTTGTGATTATATTCCTCTTTGTCGTAAATTTTTTTAAAAAAGGAATAAAAACAAAAGCACATGTCAAATAGGGCTGCTAATTATAATTACCAACATTGAGCCGAGACATGGACCAACTCTAGTCAATAAGGACTGTTGGTACACAGCCATATTTAACAACTTTTTACCTGTTACAAATTATTTTTCTTTTTCGTGACATAACCAAAAAAATAATAATAAAACTTTCGCTAATAATCAAAAGCTTATGAATTGTTTCCCTGAAAAAAAAAAAAAAAAAAAAAAAAGCTCAGGAATTGCGTGGAATGTGTTTGCCATTTTAAAAAACTCTTATAATTACCAACAACTTCCCACAAAAACATCCAATTCTGAATTTAAAAACAAAACAACTTTCCTAACCGCCCCTAAAAAAAAAAAAAATTACAATTCCCCTAAACCAACTTAAGCACTTGCATTTATATCACGCAAAAATCCCTGACTCTTCACATCTTATTCTAAACTTGTTTTTCTCTCTTCCTTCTCATTTCATCATAATATAATTCAAAGCAATGGAGGTACCTACTTGAAACTTCTTTTGTTCTTGATTTTTTTGTCGTTTGTTTTCTTATCACCGTCGTTTTAACTCTCTCACTCTATATTTATCATATATTCTCAGTCGCAGAGAATTCTTCTCTTCATCTCCATTGCAACTCTTTTCACCGCAACTTTCCTCCTGAATTCTTCTTCAGCTCTCAAGGTATTAAACTCTTTCCAAATCTGTACATTTTTTTTAAATGATTTGTATATATTTCTGCGTTTCTCATATATATATTTTTTACTATTATTTTATTTTTTCATAGCAAGGAGAAACATGCGCAACAAACAAGAACTGCGACTCAGGGTTGCACTGCCAGACATGCGTAGCGAACGGGAATTTACGCCCTCGTTGCACCAGAATAAAACCCATAAACCCCATTTCTCAAGTACTGAAAAAAAACTCAGTTTGATATTTTTCTTTCTTTTTTTTGGGGGTATTTTACGTTTTGTGAATTATTTTGGTTTTGTTTGGTTTGTGAATAGATGAAAGGCCTTCCGTTTAATCGGTATTCATGGCTGACGACGCACAATGCGTTTGCGAGGCTGGGGAAAAGTGTGGCTCCCTCTAACCAGCAGGACTCCATTACCGATCAGCTCAACGTAAGTTTCTTTTCTCTGTTGAGTGCTTGTTTGGTTCTCGGGAAAGTAGTTTTGAGAGTAAAGGGAACGCATGAGAGTAGACTTGGCCATGCCGAAACAGAGAGAGAGAGAGAGAGGACAGAGCTTTTTTTTTTTTTTTTTTTTTTTTGGTGGGGCGGAGGTGATCATTTGTCGCTATCATCTTACAAAAGTAATTAATGTTCAACAACCATCGTCTTTCTGTCTAAAAAGTAGAAAGTTAAGGCCTTCTTTTGGAGGGTGAAAAATGATTTTTCTACGGTTTTTCTAGGAAGAAGTTGCTCTGAAACATGTAGATACGAAAAACGAAATAAAAGACAGTACAGTTGTTAAACGAAATATTAATATACACATCTTCAATGTTAATATTACGTTTTAAGATTGTCATATTATGTTTTTTATATTTACATGTTACGAAAGAACCTCCCATCAATGTGATATTTTTTAGAAGAAAGTTGATATATCTCACGAGGATAGATAGAAATGCTCGAGTTGGAAAACACCAAGCTAGTCTCATGTATGTGAATGATCAAAGAGAAATTGGGGTTTTGATGACTTTTATTAGGAAGGGCAAGGTTTTTGGAGCCCAGAGTCACTATACTTTCGGTGTTTTTATCCCCCGAACTTTGATTAAACTTATAAATTATTCTCTGCATTTTTAATTGTAGTAGATTATTCAATTAGCAAGAAAAAAAAAGTAGTAAACCATTCTCAAGGTTTATAACATTTTGGTGATTGCCTTCTTAATAATGAAAATTGTTAGGATTTTAAAGAAAATGCCATATGCACATGACAAGACATGCTCTAATCATAATTAAAATTGTAGACTTTTGCCTTTCAAACGATCTCACACAATATATATGATTGTTCACATCCACATCATAATAATCGTTATCGATTTCGGCACACTCTGTATTATCTCGTTAAATTTGAACGTAATTTTTCACTTTTTAAAGTTTAAGTGACAACTTCTCAATTATAAACGGCTTAAGAAAAAATGTGACAAATACCTTTTTAAAAAAGGTTTAGATTTGAGTGATCTTACTGTGGTAATTAAATATAAATTATTCAATGTGCTGAATATATCCCATCATGCAAGGTTGATTGAGTGCTCTAAAGTTATTTGAGAACACCATCTTTTTTTTTATATCATAATTTTTTTATCCAACAAAAAAATAAAGTAGTGGTTTGATAGGTTTTAGGAGATATACTTCCAATTTGAAAATAGCTGTTTTGAGATTTAATTTTGGCAACTTGGATTTACTTATGTCATGCATATACTAATTCAACTAATCAACGTTCATATTAAATCAACGTTCACATTATAACTCTTTGTTTGGTTGCTAAAGGTTTATCCTAGTCTCTGCCTCTCTGGCGGCAGCTTTGTTTTTGGGCCATGTGTTTAAAGTGAACAAGGAACAAAAAGAGAAAAAAAAAAAAAATATATATATATATATATATATATGTGAACTTTTAAGGCTTGGAGTGATCCTAAATTTGGTTGATTTTGTCCTTGCTTTTTTATTTTAATTTCTTTACGTGCAAGATAGGATTAGATGACGAAATTTTGTTGAATGAAGATGTCAAAACCCCAAAAAATTTAAGAAAAGGCAATTATATACAATACTCTTATTTAGTACCATTCACTTGGGGAATAAATATCCACTTTATGCTACTAACTATAGTTGAAGATCTCGCCCAATGATGACCCAAAGTATTATCATTTTCTAAGATCAACTTGGCGCTCATTAGGCGCTTCTTTTGACTTCAATAAAATTTTGTTTTTCCATTTTCTAAGTCAACAAGAAAGGGAATGTGGGTCTTTTCTTATTATTATTTTTTTCTTTTGAACTATGAAGGTAATCTTCGGTTATAACAGAGTTGTCTTGTTGGAAAACATATTAATTCAAAACTTACTTAATAGAATTATGTTACCCAGCAGAAAATTAATTTCTTTGTTTGCACGCGTGCGCTTTAATATTGTTGTGATCATTTAAACAATAGAAGCACCACTTTATTAAAGAAGAGTGATAATTCTCAGAACCTAACAAGGGAATCTAGCCGGTGGAGAAAAGAAAACTAAAAACAAATGTGAATGCGTTTTTATATTATTTTGTTCAATCTTCCTGTGGTCCTCTGTCTTTATGGTTGTGTGTGTTCTGTCTTTAGGTTCCATTTGTTATGTACAAACAATTGATCCTAAGTTTTATCAAACGACACTTATTTGCAGAATGGTGTACGAGGGTTCATGCTTGATATGTATGACTTCAGAAACGACATTTGGCTGTGTCACTCCTTCGGCAGCAAGTGCTATAACATTACTGCTTTTGTAAGTTGAACATTTATAGAATTGAGCAGTCACATTTATTGATACATACTTTTTTGTTTCTTAAAGCCAAAAGTCAATAGTGATAGAGGGTACGCCTATCTAGATAATTTTTGGAAGACGGTAAACTCTTGCGTAATATATGAATCATTCATTAAGTGAATTATTCATATATTCCGTTCATCGTGGTAGGACTGATTCGAACCTAAAACCTTATAAAATAGAATGAACAGTCTTTCTATTCATTAATAAACCACACTAAAAAATTCATCTAGCAAAAAATAAGGACATTTCAACTAATTAGACCTAAATTCTGGTTATAAAACTTGACGTTACAATTCTCTTAAGGAGTTTCATTTCTAAATTTTTTTTTTTCTTGTCACACATGACTCAGCAACCTGCCATTAATGTCCTCAAGGAAGTTCAAACATTTCTTGAATCAAACCCATCAGAAATAATCACCATTATCATTGAAGATTACGTGACATCCCCAAAGGGCCTTAGCAAAGTGTTTGATGCAGCTGGACTAAGGAAATATTGGTTTCCGGTATCAAGAATGCCCAAAAATGGTGGTAATTGGCCAACAGTTGATGATATGATCCAAAAGAATCAACGTTTGGTTGTTTTCACTTCTAAATCAAGTAAGGAGGCTTCCGAGGGCATTGCCTATCAATGGAGATACATGGTAGAAAACCAATGTGAGTCCTATTAAATAACACTAATGTTCTTATTTTTCTCCTTCAAATTGACAAAATTTAACCATATATACACAACTAAACAAAGCTTAATTCGGTTGTGAATTGCAGATGGAAATGGAGGAATGAAAAACGGGTCGTGCCCGAACCGGGCAGAATCACCCGCCATGAATACAAAAAGTAGATCGTTGGTGCTAATGAACTTTTTCAGAGACAATCCAGATTTGCCTCAATCTTGCAAGGACAATTCTGCTCCATTACTTAACATGGCTAATACTTGTTATGAAGCTGCTGGTAAAAGATGGCCCAACTTCATTGCAGTTGATTTTTACAAGGTGGGTATGGGCCATAATGAATAAATTTACTAGCAAACTACTAAAATTAAGCAAATGGGTGTGCTTATAAGATGGCAATTCATAGTCTGAGTGGCTGTGTCTAATTTAATTTATTTACCAAACTTTTGTCTCAGAGAAGTGATGGTGGTGGGGCCCCTGCAGCTGTAGACGTTGTGAATGGCCATTTGGTTTGCGGATGTGGGAACATTGCCTATTGCAAGGTGTGTAAAAATTTGCACCAAACATTATCCATCCTTTCTTTCAACACAAATGCTAAAATTTCTTATCCAAGATGTCTGTCCTGCTGCAGGATAAATAACCTAAGCAAATAAGCTTCACACATTTATGTTCTCACAAAAAAAAAAAAAAAAAAAAAAAAAAAAAAAAAAAACCGGAGAATTTTATAATAAGATATGAAAAATCTGCTTTACAGATATATTTTAAAACCATCATATTAATACCATATCACAATAATTTAACTTTTTTACTGTAATATTTTTTTTTTACAAAAATTTGAACTTCAATATCATATCATAACAATTCTATTTTTTTACTGTAATATTTCCTTTCAAAAAATTTAAATTTTTAATTCAAAACTTTCACTTGAACCTGAAAAAATATATATATGTTTAGCCAAAATTAATGGAATATCTAATATCTCGATTTGAGTATTTTTTTCGAGTCCAAACTTCAAGTGGGCCCCATGTAATGATTCAGCATTGAAAGAGTGAGATCATATATAGTTGAAATGTTGAATTTTCTGAGTGGGGTCGCTACAAATTGATTATTTTGTGCAGGCAAACGGGACATACGGAGTATGTGACCAACCCGAGGCTGAAGCTACACCTAAAGGCGGATCCTCACAAAAGTCAGGCGTTGGGGACTTAAATAGGAAACCTCTTCAATTGCGGTTGTTATTTCTGACACTTCTTCTGGTCATATTCTTTTAAATCTCATTACTGTAGAAATTTGCCACTTATCTTACCAGGAATCAAATGAAAAGGACATTGAAAAAGAAAAAGAAATCATCTATTTTTAGCCCAAAGAAGTTGAAACATAGTGCCACTGCCAAATGGGACTCATGTGATTATCTGATCACTAAGCACGCGCGTGTGTGTATATATATATATATATATATATAGTGGTTATTCTGCTTTTTAATAGTTTAACGTGAGATACATAAAACTTAGTGACTGTCTGGAACAGCCTTCGGAGGTCAATATTTTTTCGTCATTGTGTAAGTGGAGCTTACTGTTTATTAGGGTTGTGCAGTTTCTACTTTGTAAAAGTGTCCTCCTTATTTATTTTATTTTTTCTTTATAATTGCCTTTTTTTTTTCTCTGGAAAGAGAATTTATGATTGCCATGTGATTGTAGAAGTGGGGAATCATATTCACATAGTTGTCTTATTACAAAAGCTTGACATTGTTCATTGGCGAGGGGCTTGATTTGGAATTTTTTAAAGCAAAAAACAACCCAAAAAAAAAAAAAATAGTTCATTATAGTTAGAAATTAGGATTATTATTATCGGAGCCTCATGAGTTTTAGAGTCTTTTCATTATGTCTTCTAAATTTTAAAAACTCTAAATTTACTACTTAAATTCTAGATTGTTCGTACTTAAATTTTTATGTTAGAAGTTTTGTTAAGAACATATAGAAAAAAGAGAATGTAGTCGCATCCTTTATGTTTGAATATCTATTAAAAAATAAATAAAAACTATATAACCACAGTTATTTTTTTTTTTTTTTCAATATGCTTTTAACCGAAATTCTCACAAAAGGGTTTAAATGGCATTGATCTAAAATTTAAGAGTTAAAATGAGAGTTTTTAAAATTTAAAGAACAAATTTAAAATAACCCTAATATATAGAGGCATTAGCGATAATAATAATAATCCTAAAATTAAATACAAAAATCTGGTGGGTAACTCAATTTGATCATTATCCGATAATATCAACAAGAAAATTATGAAATCTAAAGGAAAGGTCAAAGAGAGGAAAAAAAATCTGTATTATTATGCTATATACTTGGTGATTATTTTTTAACCATCAAATTAATTGCATACACTGCACGTAAGGAATACATAGTTCATATTACCTTTTATAATTTACTGAAATTTATATTTTTATCTATATGGATGCTCCTTTATACTTATAATCTTGGTTTACGGTGATATTTCACCAACAACCAAGAACCTGAATTTTGAGTGTTCAACTTGGATAAATGGATTTAAACAACGAAAAAGAAAACACTAAAAAACAAGGAACACAAAAAAAACAAGCAGAAAGGAAGAGTTTTATTGATCTTTTTCAGAATACACACTCAAGTTTTCTCCATCTTTCGAGGTACAATTTTGGCAGAGTAATACTCAGATACAAAAGATTTCGAACCCCTTCTTCATTCCTTCTTCACCTATTTATAGACGTTCCTCTCTCCTAAGACGACTTCCCTTCGTGGGTGTCCGCGTCAAACTTGGGTGTAACCGTCTTGCCCACATTCGCCTTCTCTATCTCCCTCACACTCCTTAGGACGTGATCACCCTTTTCGTCTATCCACATGTGATGCGGCAGTTGCTCATTCTTTGCACGTCGTAGGACAGTTAACCATAAATGTTCTCCTCGTTTCCCACGTGATAAATTAAAAATGGAAAAGAAGAGGGGGTCGGACTTATCCTAATCCGCCTTGCCCTTGAGTAACTGTCATAAGTACCCGAGCCTAAGGCACTGAGCTCAGGACATTTAAACTCAAGGTGTTGAGCTTATATGCTCGACTTCGGTTGCCGGTGCTATAGGTAGGAGTACATTATGGCAGGATCAGTCACCGGGCAAACCAACCCTCCTCCAAGAAGAATTGTGCTATGCCCCCCATCCCTATAGAGCGAAAGAGCTGCCTGATGATCCCTAGGTTGCAGCACGTCCGGCAACATTTTAACTCAAGGCATTGAGCTTAGGAGAATTTAGCTCAAGGTAAATCCTTGGCATAACAGTCTTTGAATCTAATTTTTGAGTAGGGGTAACATCTTCTTTTTCTTTTGTTTTTTTAGAAAAAATTTTTAAGAGAAAAAAAGTGTATCAATTAGCTGATGAAGAAATGTTTTGCGTAAAAACACCATGCCTTAATCTACTCCTTCCTCTTACAATAATCCAAAGGTCTTTTCGTGAACAAATAAAATTCCTACGAAATAATTAAGATTAAGGATATTTAAAGATCGAAAAATCAAATAACTAATGAATGATCTCTTTAGCTCTCTTACCTTTTGAGACAAACCAAAGGTTCCTTAACTTTATCAAAAAACGTAATAACCAAATTACCAATCCCAAATACTCTTCTTCATTAATTTCCTCCTTAAATATCACACATCTAATTGAACGTATCATTTTGTTGTAGGATTGTGAGATATTACAATACATTAGTATTACATTTAACTATCACTCCTCTTATAGTTACAAATACTAACACCCAAAATTGTCGACCAAAGTGGCAATGGAGGCATGTATTCATTATTGTTTTTCATTCTTCATCCTTATGCTCCTCCTTAAAGATTTTGGCCATGTTTGAAATTAATTCCGTTTTTGTTTTTCACGTTTTTTGAAGAAAAAAATGAAAACGTTTTCAAAACAGTATTTGACGCAATAAAGACAAAACATAAATGAAAATAATTTTTTGGTTTAGTGTAAAATGAGAGAAAAATGAAAAACGACTTTTAGTCATATTTCATTTTTTGTTTTCATTTTCTCGTCTCTCGAGCAGAGAGAGAGAAAAATAGACTTTATTGGGGTTTTACACTGAAAACAATCTCTTAATAAAACTACCAAACGCATTTTTAAAAATGATTTATGTCTGAGATTAAAAACGTTTGCATTTTCATTTTCATATAAAAAATAAAATTATTTTAAAACGAGTTTTAATCGCGCATTTTATTTCTTTGTTCTATTCGTAAAGAGTTGTAACTTTGTGCACTTGCAGGGATTTCTTCTCCTTCTTATAATGTTGCTCGGTGCAACTTTTTTCTTTAACCATTCCACTGCTGTCCACGTATATAATTTAAAATCTATTTCTGCTTCGAGATATATTTCGAATTGTTCTTACAAGTTTTAGAGTTTCTTATTTTCTCTCTTTTTATAATGCATAAAAGCAATATCAGTAGTGAGCATCACCTTATAGAAAATGGACCTCATATGTGGATTCTATGCGGGTCCGCTTTTAAATATTATTGTGCACACCATCTAACATTATTTTCTTTTTTTTTTTTTAGTACTTTGGGATGGATGAATTTGAACTCTAGATCTAGCTTATATTTATTTACTATTAGATAAAATACAAAACCACTGTTAAAGTTTCAAAGATATATAGATTAAATTCTATGGGAACTTAAGGCTAGGCAGTGTTTTTGTTTATGAATGTCCAAATTATGTAGAGATTAGACCCTTTTGTTTCACAACTTAAATAACAACTCAAACGTTTGGCTACAATGTTTTCTCTCATAAGAATTCAAATTTAACTTCTTGTGTTATAGTGTTTTCTTTTATATAAATTCACTTTTCAACTCAAGTTGTCTTTTGAAGTGGTAAACAAGTAGGGATAACACTACAACAAATAAGAGATTAGACGACGTCTATTTAACGAGATTTTTTAAAAAACCGTCTTCTAATGGGCTAAATAAACGCGGTACGAACACAAAAAATCTAAACGCGCACATTAGACGACAATTTTTAAAATAACGTCATCTAATATAGTATATTAAAACGTCATTGTATCTTTTGAGCACGGTTTGTCTTATCTCCTATTTGTTCTAAGTGTAACTTGATTTATCGATTTTGAAGTGGTGAATATATAGGTAGGTGAAAGATGCGGATTCAATATGACGTGCGACTTGGGCTTGCCCTGCGAGACATGCTTCGCTGCCAGTAGTTTCTGGCCGCGCTGTGTTAGATCTGGGCCTGTCATCCCCACTTCTCAGGTCCATTTTTTTTTTCTTCTAACTTTTCCTTTTACTGAAATTGTCCTTTTATATTTATTTTCTGGTTTAATCCGAGTATTTGATATTTGAATATTCCTTGATATTTTTTTCCTTTTAATTTATCATATAATGCATGTGCTTAGTGAAGAGTTAATATTCTTCTTAATACTTTACTTTGATTTATGAAAGACTATAGTATATTGAATATCAATATATATTTATATATAGGTGAAAATGCTGCCGTTTAATCGATATTCATGGCTAACTACGCATAATTCATTCGCAAGGATGGGCGCAACCTCATTTATAACGGGGTCTACTTTGATCTTTGGCACGAACCAGATGAATTCAGTCACCGCTCAGCTCAAGGCATGTCATAACTTGCGCTCATGATTTGATATACCTAATTCTTCAAAAATGTTAAATATAAGGATTATATACACTAATGGCCTAAAGTTTTGCAATATGCAGTTTTGGCCTTTCAATTATTAAACAGCTCATTTTTTTAACAAAATATAAGATGACTTTGAGAGTTTTCAAATGGATAAAACAATTTTAAAAGACAAGCATATCTTAAAAAAAAAAAAAAAAAAAGCGTATTAAATTTTTCCCTAAAAAACCGTATTCCGAAATGAAAAAGAAAAAAACAAATTTGAACTGGTTGACACAATTTGGTTTTTTACTTTAGAATCTATTTTTTCCTTTTAGATTCAAATCTGCTCATATTTTTGTCATTCTGTCTCTCTTGGGATGCTTATAAGCCATCTCTGTGTTACATTTTACTAACAAATGGATCAAAAGCTTACAATATTTTAAAACCTTTAGAGTAGTTAGACGTCTAAAACTAATGTCGAGATCAAAATAAGACAAATGGCCTACATCCTCATGTGTTACTAGTGTAATTACTGGTGCATGATTATCACTATTAACTTTTCTATGATATGATTAGTTACACCTGATTATGTTAATTGTAGAGTTTCATATATTGAATGCGCTTGTGAGACTGATAATTATAAAAACCATGGTATGCTAGTAATAGTGCACGGCAACATTACGCACGCGCGCGCGCACATGTTTTCATATTGTAACTTGATTGTAAGTGGTTTGTTTGCTTGTAGAATGGTGTTAGAGGACTAATGCTTGATATGCATGAGTTCGACGATGACATCTGGTTATGCCACGGAAAATGCGACGTCGCTACAGCTTTTGTACGTGTACAATATTTTAGTTATATATATATATATATATGTGTGTGTGAATGTTTTCCTGTCCCGTAATTATTTAAGGTGTGTTTGGTTGGATATATTGTAGGACGGATGAATTGGTGTTGAGAGAAATGTCTATGTTTAGTAGCGGGTTTGGTCCAAGGGAAAGATTGGGGGAGGGGTTCCTAATCCATGAGACCCACCAAAAATCAATTCCTCCCATAATTGAACGGAAAGTGAAGGAAGGCTAGCATATATGGCCATTAATTACAATTCTACCCATCGTTTTGTTTCTTTAAATTAATTATTTCTCTTTCTTTCAAATTTCTTTTTCTTTTTTCAATTTAACATTGCTTCTCTACTCCATCGAGATGGACTACATAAATGTCTATTAATTTATATAAAAAATATCAACTACTGAAAAGTCTTTTATTTGTGTGTTAATATATTAGTCTTATTTTTCTAAAAAAATATGTTCTTATAGGTAAAAAATTTTCTTAAAAGTTTAATTATTTATGTGTACAGCTTGAACATTAAAAATTTTATTTGAAGAAAATGAATATAACATTATTAATTATTAATCAATATACATAAAGAAACTAATTAATTTTGCATGGACAATATAGTAATTTTACAAATCAAATCAATCTTTTCCTCCTTTCTTTTCAATACTAAATAAGAGAGAATGATAACAACAATCATTCTTTCCTATCATACTAAACAATTATGAGAAAAATTACAATCCACCATTCTTTTTCAGTCCACCTCTCTCATATTATATCCATCATTCTATCAATCTATTCCTCCTTCCAAACGAACCCTTAGTTTTATACTGTTGTGATCTTAATATTATAATTACTAGCAACCTGCACTTATGGTTCTCAAAGAGGTCCAAATATTTCTGCATGAGAACCCGTCCGAGATCATCACCATCATGATTGAAGATCATGTAGAGTCACCGAAGGGCTTGACTAAGCTTTTTGATGCCGCTGGCATCAGAAACTTGTCGTTTCCACTATCTCGAATGCCCAAAGATGGTAGAGATTGGCCAACAGTTTACGACATGGTCCAGAAAAACCAGCGTTTGGTCGTTTTCACTTCAAATGATGACAAGCAGGCTTCTGAAGGGATTGCCTACCAATGGAACTACATGGTAGAAAACCAATGTAAGTACTTTATTGCCCCTCTCTAAAAACTTTAAACTATAGTACGTACTTCATTCTTAGAACTTATAGAAGTCTCATAAGAAAAATGTAGATGCATGCATTATCAGAAATTAAATTGATGCTAGTTAGTTTTCGGTTAAGTATTTCATACCTGTAGTTCTACGTTAAAAAAAAAAAAAAAAAAAAAAATAGACGTTGAAGGGTTTGAAAAAAGTATAGCACTGAAATAATGATAAGAGCGCCTCTATGTATTACGATACATTTATTGTAAGGCACTTGAGTTAGGCTCGGTGACATGTTCAAGTATTTTTCAAAAAGAAATAAAGATTATCGGTGGTGTCTTATTATTATATCACTGTGAGTTGTAATTTCGGACACCATTAATACCAAATAGCATGCATATAATAATTCCGGCTTCAATTAATTACATTTTATTAATATGCAACACTATAAAATATGCAACACGTAGTGTCGTGCGTATATATGCTATATATATATATATTAATGTATAAGCAATCATACTTAGTATTACTACTAGTTGACGAATACCATTTTTTTAAGACAAAACTATATAGTAACTGATCGTAATAGCGATCATCATGAAAACAATGGGTCTGTTTCAATCCCAATTTTTTACGTTTTTCGAAACAAAAAATTAAAAACGCGTTTAGCAAAAGTTTTTCTAAAAAATAAAAACAAAACTGTTTTTCTCGTTTTGTGAAATTCTGAAAACGTAAAAAAGATATTTTTATTTTCTCGTTTTCATTTTCTGAAAACGGATTTCCCACCACCCCCTCTCCTTTCTCTAACATTAATTTAGGTAACCAGATCATCAAAACCAAACAGATCAAGATCAAACGGGAAATTAATCAACAGATCAAGATCAACAAAACCAAACAAATGAAAATGGTAAATCTTCAAGAAAACTTTCTCTCTTGATGCGACTAAATCCGAAATTCCGATTGGATTTGGTGCGATTGCGACATGATTAGGGCCTGGGCTCTTCAGGATCTGGACGTGGCAGAGCTGGGCTCGTCGGGATCTGGGAGTGTCGAAGCTTGGCTCGTCGGATTTAGGCATTGCGGAGGCTTGCCGGATCTGGTGACAGCAGAGTTAGCTCGCCGGATTTGGGTCGAGGAGAAAGAGGGGGTTGTGCCGACGGGAGAGGGAAAGGGGGTAGAGGGGGATAAAGAGATTTTGTCAAGATAGAGAGAGAAGAGGAGAGATTGCCCCTCATTTGATCCTTTGGAGATATGAGAAATCTGGCACTGTAAAATGTTTTCTGTGCAAAATATTTTCAGCCACCGTCCAAAGCAAAATGATTTTTTGTTTGTTGGATACTAGTGAGCAGTGAGCAATAAAAAGTATTTAATATATTATTTAAAATACTATTAAATGCATTTTCAGTTTTCAAAATTTAAATCACCAAACACAATTTAAAAAAACTGAAATTAATCTCTGAATAAAACTACCAAACGCATTTTTAAAAATAATTTTAAAATGAAAATAAAAACGTTTTTATTTTCATTTTTATACAGAAAATAAAATCATTTTGAAATCAATTCTAAACGCACCCAATATTTTAAACTTGATTGATTGCAGATGGGGATGATGGGATGAATGGGTATTGTATAAACCGGGCAGAACCATCTCCCATGAATTCAGTGAGCAAATCATTGGTGCTGATGAACTACTTTCGCAGTTCGTCCAATATAATTACACGGAAAAATTTTTATCATTTCTTTTCCCAAAAAAAAAAAAAAAAAAAAAAGATAATTACACGGCAAAATTTCTTACCTTAAGTTTAAATTTAGCAAAATTTTCAATATATTATGAATATAGCAAAAATGACAAAGTAATTATCATAATAATGTCACATTTTATACTACATAATAATATAGTAATTATTTTAATGATATCAAATTTTACTACTCTTGTAATATTTTAAAACTTTTGTTATATTTCAACCTTACTAGTTAAATTTTGCTATATGTTTAAAGAGTTCTGGTATTGGTGGGCTGGGCTCAACACGTTCACGCAAATGCATGAATGACCAGTAATGTAATGACTAGGGGTTTAATGCTCAAGATTTTAATAGTAAGGTGCTAAATAATGTGCATAGATTAAGGGAAATTAAGTTGTAAACAATGTAAAGCAACCTATATACTAACTTAATTTCGTGCACGGCTCAAGAAACCTAAGCCTTTATTTTTAGGGGTTCAAGGTTAATGATGCATTGTGTCATTGACATCTAAGTAAATATAGTAACCCGTTGGTTAACCAAAAAAAAAAAAAAAAAAAGCTTCCGATAAAGCACTCCGATCAAAGCATTAATCTTTTTTTTTTTTTTCACGTTAAGTATTTATACCACAAAGACGTTGAGTATTACAAATAGTTAAAGGTGGGTTAGGAGGAATCCCACTCTAAAATGCATGCATATAGATATTGTAATTTATAAGTACAATACAATAACCCCGGAATATTCCAAAGCAATTTACTCTGCACCTAAAGAAACATCCAAATTAAGCACGGATGCGGGGATGACATATTATATTCATATGTTAAAAAATAATCAATTTAGTTTAGTCCATTATGGATCAAGAGTTCTTTTTTTTTTTTTCCTTTTTTTTTTGGTAACCAAAGTAAGATTAGTTTTGTTTTATATCTAACCAAAAATTATAATCTTAATTCAAGCTTTGAATCTAAGAGTCTAGGACCTAGCTGTTTTATTTCAGAAAAACTTATAATCTTATATGGGTAAATAAGTCAAAAGTACTTTTGTTACAAACAGTAATATAATATAAGGATATGAATGAAAGTTTAATTCGCTGTTTACAAATAAAAGTAAAAATGTAAATAAAAGACCTTTTCATAAGCTCTTTTTTCACAAATATTAAGGAGGTGACTTGTTTTCAAAAGAGTTTAGGGTTTGTTTGGGAGAGCTTCTTAAAAGTTATTCATGGCTTCCCAAGTCCAAAAATTGTTTCTAGAAGTGATGATCTGTCAGAAAAGTGCTTTGTCTTTTCAAAAGAACTTACAGTTAAAGTCAGAAATTATGGTTTCTAAGAAAAACACTTTTTAATAGACTTTGAAACTTGAGTAAGAATTTAATTAAGACATTATAAATTTAATTCTAATATTTTTAAAAATCATTTTAACCCATTAAACTCTTGATTTTAAACACTTACTGACAAGTCACAACTTTTACTTCTCTTGTTAAAAACAAAAGCAAAAACTCTATCAAATGTGTCCTTTTTATAAAAGCCATAAACATTTGAACTAAATAAACTATAAACATTTTTCTTTAAACCAGCCCAAACACATTTTCCAATTAAACAATGCACATTCACATTTCAATCCCACAATTTCGCAATCAAAGTAGTCAAAATCTATTAAATAAACCACCTTTATAGGCTCTTAAGGCTAGCTAAATCAAATAGTTGAATGTGTAAGTTTGTGCGTGTCTTCACTGAAATCCGCCGCACACTGTATTTTTTTTTTTTTTTTTGAAAATAATAATAAAAAAACATAAAGAAGCCCACCTTAAAAGCCACCTTGTAAAAGTTGCATGAAAAATTAAGTGATATATCCAAAAGGCTAATTTCATAATTAATGAAGCGTTTAGTTTCAATCTCAAAAACGTTTTTCACGTTTTTTGAGGAATAAAAACTGAAAATAATCTCAAAAACGCATTTGGTTTTTGTTTTCTTAAAAATTGAAACTAAAAACGTTTTTGACCCTTTTTATATTTTGTATACATTTTTTAAAACGGTTTATACTCGTTTTCATTTTCTCGTTTTTCATTTTCTTCTACTCTCTTTTTCTTCTTTCCTCGCTGTTCTTCGTTCTCCATTCGACTGCACCGTCTATTTCCGCCAAAAGGAACTCGATCATCACCGGCGCCACCACTGGCGGCTTCCTCCAGATGCGCCCGGAGTTCGCCGCCTCGGGTGGGGA